TTTTAAAAAAAACAAAGAAGCTAAACCAAAACAAACAGCCTACTCTATATCACACTGAACTTCAAAAATCTAATTTCTAAAGCTAGAAAACTACCAAACCCATTTCCCTCTCTTAATTCTTACCTACTTTAAAGAAGTCATTAACAATCTTACCCTGTTCAAGAAAAAAAAAAAAACACCACCCCTTATTTTAGTTCAGTTGACTTGCCGCAGTAGATGGAAAAAATGATGCATCAATATGTCACAGAACTGACTAACAGTGCATAAATTCACCTAGATGTCTCAAGTGCATAAATTCATCTAGATATCTCAAGTATTAATTTTACAAAGCCTTCTTCCCCCATTCCCTAGATATGCAGGTTTTAATCCTTCTTCTCCCTCTTATACCTAGCTTCTTTCAAATATTTATGTGGGGTTTTTTTTCCCTTTAGTTAGGGAATCTGGAGTAAAATAGATCATTCCTAATTCTTATAATGCTGACAATATCAAATAGCTGCTAAACATTTTTGCATTAAAAAAAGTTACTTCTCTGTGTAATGATGGCCTGAAATAGGTAACTCTTATTTGACATGTCTGCAAAAAATCAGAACAGAGAGTCTGTTTCCAGTTGTTGAAATGTGCTGTATTTGGCACCATCCTGGTTTCAGCTGGGATGGAATGAACTTTCTTGCTAGCTGCTAGTGTAGTGCTGTGTCTTGGATTTGGGACAGTAAATGGTGTTGACAGCACACCAGTGGGTTTGCTTGTTGCTAAGCAGTCAAGGCCTCTTCTGCTCCTCACACCGCCCCACCAGTGACCAGGCTGCAAGGGTACAAGAAGTTGGGAGGGGACACAGCTGGGGCAGCTGACCAAAGCAATATTCCATACCATGTGACAACATGCTCAGTACATAAAGCTGGGGAGAGAAGGAAGAGGCAGGGGGGACATTTGTAGTGATGGTGTTCTGAGTTTCTCCCCATCCCAACTGGGACCTGCTGGGGAGCAGCTACATGGTCCTACGTGCCAGCTGAAGTTAAACCACGACAGGCACTTTTGACAGCTCTTGCCTAGACTTTCTCAAAAATAGAAGCTTATCTCAAAATTATAACTGGATTGTGGTCACCTGCAAGTCAAGCTGTTTATGCGGGGAAAAAACCCTGAATTTATCAGAAGTCAGCATTTTAAAAAAAATTCAAGTGGGCAATAACAAAATTAATTTTCACTGGCATGGAAGCCTTGCTGTTTTATGACTCACAAGCATATGACTTTGCTCTTCAGTTGGTGTACCAATAATAATAATAATGATAATAATAATAATACTACTACTAATCTACATTTGAAGTTTTACCTCCTTATGCCTCTTTCACTTCTATGTGTCAAGGACAAATAAAAAGATTTCACATACCCATGAAGCAGGAAAAAAATAATTTGTAAATCTCCAGGAGAGTGATAGGGGAAGAGTGCTTCTCCGTAAGTATTACTCCTTTTGAAGGAGGTTTCCTACTTGTATGATTCAGGAAAAAAAGCCTCATAACTATGACCTTGCAAGCAGATGCAGTATATACATCAAGGGGGAAAAAACCCCATACATACACATCTCCATGCACATGAAAAAAGCTTCAGATATATAAAATCCCACACTATGATGACAGAAGTAGCTAAAATGTTTTATTGGAAGAAAAAAAATAAACATAGGAACTTCCCCATCCATGAAGATCTTTCAACTTTTAAGAGTCCCTACATCTATTCAAGGCCTCTATCAACCAGAACTATAAAACATTCCAAACATAATTACATCAGCAGCCTTCTCAAATACACACAGAGGGCTTACAACTTTCCATTTGATTCCTGACCCCACAAATTACCTACTGTTACCAGCTGAATCTGAGTATCATTATCCCTCATACAATTCTTAGCACTCAGCAGAAATTAACAAAAAGCTTTGCTTACTACTTTATTTTGCTAACTTTTATCCCTAGAAGAGAAAAGAGAAGCAAAAACCACCAGATCCCTTGTATTTCAAAATATATAGCAAAACTGCTAGCATCATCTTTGACTTTTTGAGGCAGTAGTATTAACTGTCAAGTAGTTAAGTAAAAAAGAGTTTGAATGTCTCAAGAATATAAACAGGGGATGGTAACAACAAGATACTCCAGAAAGATTTTTCACTGCATTTCAAAGTATAGCGTGGTTAAAAAAAAAGGGAAGAGTAGCTAAAATCTGGGGAAAGCATGTTTAAAAAGAAATCTTGTATTTTGCATAAGTCAGATCTAGAAAAAAGATCAATCTGTGATCTGAAGAACAGCAAGTCCAGATGACTGAAGCACTAAAACAAACAAATAAATTATTCAGGAATCAATATTTTTTCCTGTATCACTAGCTGCAGAATGCTTTTAAAGAGTTTATCAAGACTCAAAAATCTCTCTTTAAAGTGTATACTCGGAAAGTAGAAAGAGTAGATTACTCTTTCAATTCAACCATTACTACATTCCCCAGCTTCCTATATTAAAGGTGTATTTCTCCTCTTTGAAAACAAACAGCAGAAGAGCTGTGAATGGTGCTCTTTTGTTTGCATCTACTATACTTTTTCTTCATTAAGTAATATAAGACCTTATTCATACCTTGGCTATGCTAACTAGCTATAAGTGTGAGAAAGTAAAAGAAACTCAGTATCTCTCCCAATATAGAAGAGGAAATTTCAAAGTTTTGGGTTTTGGTTGTTTTTTATTGTTGTTGTTCTTGTTTTTTGAAGAGTGCTTCACTCTGTTCCATTAGCTCACTTCAATGAGCTATGAAATGTAAAATGTACATGACTCCACTTTTCTTATATGCCATATTTCACTGCTTAAATTTAAGCAACTTTAAAGAATAGCTATTAATAACTGACATCACATTTCTTCAGTCTCCCAGTTTCAACAACAGTCAAGATTGGCCGGAAGCACTGGGCTCAGGCACAAGAGATGGTCACAACATCTACAACTTCCTGACAGCATCAACTCATTTGACTAGTACTTCCCTGAGGAAAATAGTTAAGAGTCTTTTTAAAACAACTAAACAAACACAGTACATAAGAGTTTTAAAGGTTTCGATTGCTTAATTTTGTTGCATTGCTACTTGAAACAAGTTGTCTGCTAAACTCAGTATTCCTTATTATTAGAATCCCATGCTGTGTGCTCTCTGTTCTATATGTTGCTATTTAGAGTCATCGATAATCATTTAAGAATCAGATCTTGTTTTCTGCAGAAAGTTTATGGCTGATGATTGTGAATGAAGATGCGTGAAGTACAAACAATAAAGCTTAATCTTCAGAAACTGGGTTAAGTAAACTAAATCTAGAACAAAAAGAAGCTAGAAAAGTAAACATGCATATGAATTAATAAGTCAAATAGTGGAAATCAGAAAGTTAGAGTGTTTGGAGAGAAACTCAATTCTAGCAATCTCAGTAAGCTCTTTCCCAAACAGAATTTTCAATTCATATGCCTATTGCTATAAGGAATTGCTACAACATGCTGTAAGAAACATAAAACTTAAATATAGGCCTTTTTTAGAAAAGAGTATAAAATTGTTTTCATCCTACTTGCTAGAACAACACGACCTCAAAAATATATACAAATTGAATGAATTAAGACTGGTTAGCATTAAATGGTACATTATGTACATGAAATACTGGACTTGATAAGTTATCTCATATCACCTTGCTGTTCAGTTTTGTAGAGGAAAAGAGGTAAATTCTTTAAAGTGTTTCAAGCTATTCCATGCAGCACAATATTCTTTAAGAAAAAAAATGCAATTAACTCAGAAATGCTAGAGAAACAAACTTGTTTTGGTTTTCTTTAAAAGAGACTTCAAAAAAGTTTCTCAGTCTCCTCTGAAACTAGCAAGAAAATTAAGAGGACTTCAGAATTTCAGGCCTGATTACTGCTTTCTCCTTTTTCTCCACGGATCACTGGCAAGGTAAGGAAGTTGCATCCAACAGGTCAACCAGAGAGTAAGTAGTAATCAAAAAACAGGGCAACGCAATTTCAGTGCTCTCTCAGTCAAAATAACCACAATAATTTCCAGTTTAGAAAAAGTGAAAAGCTCTTCATTACTTGTCTTCATAATTGTCTTTACAAGATTCACTTAAGATTTGTAAAAGAAAGTAAAATTTTTGCACTGTTATTTCAACCCAGAAGCATCCTGGAGCCTTCTCTCTAACACACCACTAGGTTGAGCAGCAGGAATTCACATCTCTACAGCTGTCCACAGATGCAAAGAAGTCTGAAACTCACTCCCTTATTTTTATATTCTTGGATTGTATTTCCATGAAAGAATGGACTAATATTTACTAGAAGAAATAATATTTATTCCAAATGACAGCAGAGATTTCTTGCTTGTCAGGAGAGAAGTAATACTCCCTTCCCCAAATGATGCAAGGGGATTTTTCAAGCCTCATGACAAGTCTTCACACCTGCCTCACCAAGGAAATGCAGCAATCTCTAATCTCAATACTCAGTGTTAAGTTACACAAGGAGCATTTCTACTGTTTCTGATATTTAGATGAGAATTTCTTGATCTCTGTGGTCACATTTGCATCTTGTAAAGACAATTATGAAGACAATTATGAAAAATAATATTATACACAAAATTCAGCTGCAATTTTTAAGATAGTTTGATGGTGACATGATGCTGTTTTGAAATACGTTTACTTCCACTTTCAAAAGCAAACATATAAAACAATAAAAAGAATGAAGCCTAAAACGTCAGGAATATATTTTATTTCCCAAGCTTTGCATTAATCAGGCAAGCAATACTTTTATTTTCTGCTTTTCTTGACATCAATGCAAAAGTAGACCTCTAAACAAGATGACATGAGGATATGAGACAAATAAGTTATAGGTAAAGGCACAGAACATTTTTTTGAAAAATGCCTGTGCTGATAATTCCAATTTAAAGTCTTTATACATAGCTAGATGTTCAATCTTTGAACACTCAAACATCAAAACATTTAAACAAGTTTAACATGGTTAGAAAGGACTTACTTTTATTGTAGCAGGTTGCTAGCACACCTTTATCTGCAGGACTGGTACTGATGTGCCAAATTTCACCCACTTGATGAAGGAGAACGTTTTTGTTTATAATGTTGTTTTCATCATCAAAATCTATGATGTGAATCTGTAAATACAATAAAAGAGAACATTAGGGTTTCAAATGTTTTCCTATGGGCCTTAATTATACACGAAGACTGCACAGGACAATTTAATGAGAATTTTATAACCAATATCTACCTTAATTAATTGTTATACTAACAATTTAGTACATCATTGATTTCATGCAGGGTATGCTTCTCTAGAAAAACACAAGCAATTTCCCTGTTTTGAGGAAATACCATGTTTCTTCTTCTCAATTTTGCAGCTCAAGTCTTGAAGGTGATTTTTCATTTTATAGCTAATAGTAAATAAGTCACTCATATTGCTGTAAGAAGTGTTGAATTACAATAAACAGAAAAAATAACATTACAATCCTTAGTCTAAATGTCTGCAACAATTCTGTAGCCAAGCCATCGAATCCAAACAACCTATGAAGAAAGAAGGGGAGAGAGGGAAAGTACTGTCATTTGAAACAAATACTGTAAATGTCAGTAAGAAATTGAGAGTTCACTTCAGCAATCACGTATCTGTACCAATTATAAATTTATAATTTTTTTTTATTATGGGGAAAAAAGAAGTTGAACTGAAAGATTAAGAACAACAACAGTAATGTTTAAATGCACAGAAAAAAATTTAAAGAGATACAGCTAGTTTTGCTTTTTGTTTGTTGCAGATTTGTTTTTAAATAGGTCTACATTACTCTAATTTTTCCTCCCTTTTTTCGTTAGTTGTTTTTCTATAGTTGCTTCAGAAATAGAAGAAATTGAGAAAGATCCTAGCCTGGCACAACATACACAGGTAACTTTACTCATGGGATTAATTCCACTAAGCTCAACAGAAAACAAATAAATTCTAGAAGATCCACAATTTTTAGAGAACTGTATCCTCATTAAAAATTCATTAGCAAAGTTGGGTGAAAAATGAAGAGAAAAAAAGCAAAATATATCCTACCATAATGATTGAATTAACTACTGAATTACTGCAAACACCTTGGCTACACAATATTAGAGAAAATTAGTTAGTGCAGCATATGGACACTGTAGATGAAGATACAGAAAACAGTACCCGTAAGTCAAGCCCAAACAAAGAACTTTCTCAACATGACTGTAGTGTAATGGTTAATGATATGTGTCATCATAACTCTTGTGGAACACACCTCTTAAAAGTGACTGGTTTTATTACCGGTAACTAAACAAATGACTCACTAATCTGCTTTAATTACACTGGGAAAGATTCCCACTGAACACAAGTCTAAGTATCAAGGAAAAAGTAGTGAGATTTGGATGAGAACAAATAACTATTTAGTTCTCCTCAAAATCTGGAGGAACTACTAATTGCAAAGGAAATTATTAAGAAAGGGAGACTCAGACTAATCCATTTCAACACAAAATATATCTTTTTCTTCAATTATGCAGTCTCCATAATTGATTTTCTTTTATCGGGCATTCACAGGCAGCAGAGACTAGAGCACTGGTTTAGTTCAGCCAATGCCCTTCTTTGTGCCCATACAATGCCATCCATTAAGGTAAACCATGAAAATGAGCATTCTAGGTTCTACAACACAAGACTGAAAATAACTTGAAGAGTTCTGAGAATGAGAGAGATCAGAAAAAAAGTAAGCCACTGCATGAAACTAAGACCAATATAAAAAGTCCCAGTTTAGCAATGATGTGAGTACTGAGGACAAAAGTTCCAAAACTACACTGTGCAAAGAGAAACTACTTAGTTTCCAGCAAGTTACGAGGACCAAATGTCAAGTACCATACACTGTCAACATCTCAAATATTGACAAAACATAAAATCTTACAAACATTTTCTCTTTGCTTTGAAATACCAGTGGTAATAGCAAAATATTTTCACCAGATCTCCTATGAATGCCTGAATTGCTTCATACAGCAACGAACCTTAATGAGGCAGCAGTTCCCACGTCAGCTGCACAGCTACCGCTCTTCCACTTGCACGGCACCTGCCCGTGACCAGAAGGGAAGAAATGATGGTGCTGTGTAAGAAACCTCTCACTGTGCAGTGCTCTGCCAAGCACTAGAGGCTGCAAGCCAGCTCCTAAGTTAGGTCAAGTAACTAAAAAAGTTTTTTAAGCAAATCTAGAGAACCTAGTGCTGAATTAAGCAATAATGAGTTGAGGCCTAGAGCAGTTCTTGGGGATTAGCAACTAGCTGAGAGGAGCTGATGGCCTGAGGCACAGCTACAGGCCAATAAGCCCCAAACATTTGTTAATACCCTAGGAAGTGTCCTGCATTTCTATTATTAATGGTATACATCAGAAAGAGAGAAGCATACTCAAAGCTGAAATATGTGTAAATATTTCTAAAATTCATAATACACGACCAATCAACTGACTAAAACAGAACATTTAAATTATTGAAGATCTGTTGGATATCAACTGATAAGTGACAATCATTATCCAACTCCTTTTGTATTAGGATTTAATTAGTTGAACCAAGACATAAAAAAAAAACCACTGTAGAAATCACAGTAAAAAACCACACTATAACCAAATGTCTGAAGCCACTGTAGAAATCACAGTTGATGGAGATCACAGGTGATGGAGAGACTCATACTAGATGTCAAGAACATCCATGATAGCACAATCAAGAACATTTAATTGTGTATATTTATTCTTAACTAAGTTTGTCTGCCACTTCTTCTGTTACTGCTCTCACAAGTATTACTTGAAATGTAAAGAAACTGAATACACCATCTCCCTTATGCCTTTGAATATTTTTTTCCTTCAGCCTCATCCAGTATTACCATTGAGCAACAAACTCAAAACCTCACTGGAAATTGACAGCTCACATCTCCCAGACCTACAGTTCCAAGTTCATTTTGTGCAGTCCATTACAGCCACCGTCCTGTGGTGGGCGTTAGCCTTGGTTAACAGCCAGATTCCCACCCAGCCACTTGCTCTCCCCAAACAGGACAGGGGGAGGAAAGACAAAGAATAGCAATGAGAAAGGTCATGGGCCAATCTAAAGACGGGGAGATCACTTAGTAATTACTGTTGCAGGCAAAACAGACTTGACTTGGGTAAAATTAATTTATTGCAAATTGAAATAAAAATGTAATTACTTATTTGGGTAATGGGAAAGAAAAAGACAAACCTTAAACCAGCACCTTCTCTCCCCACTTTCCCAGGCTTCACTTCACTCCAGACTTGTCTAAGCCCCTTCAAGGGGCACAGGGGGCCATGGGGCAGTGGTTGTTATGGTCAGTATATAGTGTTTTCTCTCTTACTTCTCCCTCTTTTCCTCTGTTCCAGTGTGGGGTCTTCATGAGCCACAGATCCTTCAGGAACATTCATCTGCTCCATTGCAGGTGTTCCACAGGGTACAGCGGATACCTGCTCCACCATGGAGCATCTTCTGTTCCTACTGCTCCTGGTCAGTAGGGACTGACTCTGTCATTTACTCTGCTGTTTCTCAGTCTTTCCCTCCTTCTCTTTGCATCCAGCATTTTCCCTGATTTCTTAAATGTTTTTACAGAGGTGCCACCAGGCTGACTGGCTCAGCTGCGTCCTGTGGCAGGCTCACTGGAACCAGTCATGTCTGGGAGAGAGAACCCCTGCCCTCTTCTCACAGAGGCCACCACTGCAGCCCCCTGGCTACCAAAGCCTTACCACCTGCACTCGGTCCAGCTTTCCAATTCTTCTGGCCTCAAGATCTTCTTTCAGTATGAAGGTATTTACTAAAATTTCATCACAAAAAAATAAAATTCCTGCACAAGTAGAAGTACTGTACTTTTAACTGCAGAAGAAACAATCCAATACAAATTGAGATGCAAAAGTCACTCAAATTTTAGTTTAAATTGTTGATAAACATTATCAGAAAGGACATAGCTGATTGTCAACAAATAATAATGAAAAAAACAGTTTATGAAGCTTCACATACACAGAACTGGGCCTCCTCCTTCATGCACATCAGAGGCAAAGACAGGTTGAAGACATTTGTTTTACTTTACATCTCTTCTGTGATTTAAAGATAGCTCCAGAGAATCTATAGATTTAAATTAACAAAAATACGGCAGTTCCTTTACTAAACCAATCCGATTTAGTAATACAATTTAGAAGAGTAATTTAATTTTCAGAAATCACACACAGCTTTCATTCACTTCCAGTTCTTACCAACACCTTTACATTCTAGTCACAAAAGTTCAAATTCAACAGGGAGGAGAAAGGAGAAGGAAAGATATTGGAACAATGTTTAAAAAAAGAAGAAAAAAATTACAACTGACATTTGACAGAAAAATTACCTGATTATCATATCTAAGAGACTGTGTTCCAACCAAAAATCTTATTGCATCCGTTTCTGCTGTCTGAGGTGTTAAAGCTCTTGCCTAGGGAGGGAGAAAGCCATTAGAAAAGTCCAATTAATACAATCCAGTAATTTCCGCACAAATCTTGAAGCTTATGTATCAATTATCATGTTAAGCATTATATTATTACAACCTGCAGACTTTCCTGCCCTTTATGTCTATTTTGGTTCTGGTGTAGTTTCTCACATTTGTGAGGTGCGTGGAACATACAGGTGCTTTACATTATCTGGCCTTCATTATAGCACTGATAACATCCAATATTATAGCAGTTCTTCCAAACTGATTCTCCTTTATCAACTGAAAAAACTCCACAGAACAGTCGACAATTCTTAAATACATTAGCTACAATATCCAAGAAAGAGGCTGTTTTGCAGAAGTTTTCAGAATAAAGATGCCTGTATAAAAATGAATTCTTCTCACCACTAACCACCAAGTTGAGAAGAAAGTTAAAAACCAAACCCCTTCTCTTCCACTCCAGGTCACTAGGGGTAAGAATTGTCTGAACGACAGAAGAAACAATTTGTTATTTACCTATCCAAATTTTGTCATAATCTTGTTATTTTGTTGTATTATCATTAACGAGAATGCTAGACTCTGTCTTTCTCCTTCAGCTTGCAACAACCATAGTCTTGTAATAAAACAAAACAAAACGGTTAAGGGCCATGGGAGACACTGAGGAATCAAGTACAGCTTGAAGTAAAACCACAATTGCTAGTTTGCAGTAGTCATTAGTAAAGACTCTCTTGGCTAATTTTGAATAAATAGAAGGTAAACTAACACTCAAAGGCACTTTCAGCAACCCTAAGCTAACTGTGAGGAATATTCCCTACTTCCCATTCAAAAGATACCCTAATAATATTGTTCAATATGAATTTTTTGTCAATACAGAAAAACAAACCTTTATAATTCACATCCTATTCAGCACAAAATAGATCTCTTCAGACACCAAAGCATGTAGTGCAAGCAAATACTTCAGAAGGATCACAGGCAACTGTTGAACAGCCCTCCCTACTGCTATCCTGGTGTGCAGCTAGCGTTACATTCTGGATTCAGGAACATTTCACTTTAATATAGTCCTGTTTGAAGCTTATTTTAAAATTAATATCAGAAAGATGACTAGAAGCTTGGAAGGGAATATTTGAAATATTTAGAACAATTTAATCCTATAATGGCAACTTGAACCGATTTGATTTTTCTTAAATAAGGAAAGCAATCCAAGCTCTGGTCTGGAAGTAAAAATAAGAACCAACTAATTTTTCAGAATAAGCTCTGAACTCCTACAGAGTAGATACATTGTCTAAATCACACATTTCAGATGCAAGATAAGTAGTAATATTTTGCTTAAGATTTAGCATAAAAAGTTAAAAAATGCAATGAGCTTAGTAACTACTAATAGCGTAACATTTATATAGAAAAAAGCACTAGAGAACATGATTCGATGAGTAGATTGTGTTCAAAACATACTCAAATGCAGATCAGAGATCAGTGTGAATCCATACTGATTTGTTTGTACTCTCCTATTTATGCAGCACTAGCTACAACAAGCCTAGACAGTGGTTCTGATTGACAGAAACAACTAGAGTTCACTGAAAAGACCGCAGAAAAGCTTTTCTTTGGTCTTGAAAAGGAGTTCTTGCCAAAGATCTGCAAATGTAAATTCTGTTCATTTCAGATCCGCTTTCAATTATTTTGAAGAAAACACTAGAAATAAGCCAACAGCTATGTATCTCTTTCAATCAAGAAAGCTTCTGTTGTTTCTGTAAGTCAAACAGAAGAGACCTCCAGGATCTTCAGTACAACAAAGAAATAAACCCCTTTTAAAGCCTTTCAAGTAGGTCTTATCATGCTGCTTTAAAAAATGCATCAGGTTAGACACAAAGTGCCCTAAACAAGATTATGTCAATACATGGTAATGTTTGTCATCAGCTTCTCTATCCCTTCTTTAAAGTATTTTAAAAATTATTTCCCCTTTTGCAAGGGGAAAAAAAAAAAAAAAAAAAAAAAAAAAAAAAAAAAAAAAAAAAAAGCAAAGGCCTGAGAAAAATAAACACATTTCACTACAAGAAACACACTACTGTTTATTCTCTGTCATAAAAAAAACTACAATAGCCATAGAGTAAGATGTTCAAACTCATCAAGCGTTCACAAATCGGAAAAATCTGATTCATGATAGAAATAACAATGGACTATCTGTTGTCTCCTACACAGATATGTGTCTAATTTTGTCTACTTTGAGCTGCTTTTAGAGAAACAGAAGTTATTTTAACAGATGATTAAGACACTGAGTAACCCTTGTGATGAACAACATAACTGAATTTGGAGTGCTGTCAAGATCAAGAAGAGTGCTTAAGTTTGTCATCTTGTAGTATAACCTGTCAGAGCAGGCTGCAAATAACATCCTTCACAAAAGCCTCCTGCCTCATGATTGCAGCTACCAGATAGAAAAATAAAAGAGAAGCAGGTATAGTGAATATCAATTAATCTAAACCAATAGAGCTTATTGTTTTTAGAGTTAGCATCCACAGAATACTAAGTTGCATATAGCCCCAAAAAGAGTTTATGACCTAACATATTAAAATATTATTTACTAAGAAAATTGCCTTCATGCATGGAAAATACCAAGAACACACATCTGAAAGATGTGAACAGTAAGAACACAAATTGTCCTTACGCACACCATCACAGCAAAGCCCCACTGAACTGATGTTTCCACACAATGCAACAAAGCATGTAATTAGATAACTCCACTTTTAAAGAAGCCCTGAGACTAGCAAAAAACTACAAGCAAGCAGAGATGAAAACATTGTGAAGCACAAAGAACCTTTTGGTTACATGTCCAAATTTCACATGCACCAACAGCTTTATGAGGAAACGTGCATGGTTTAAAGCAGGTAAAGATTTATAAAACAGGGGTTTTAAAACAAGGATTTTAAAACAGTTGAAGAGGCAACCTCATTGTGATTGATGCTCTAATCAAATATTTTAACAGTCTAGAAGGAAGCTGGACAAGGCCCCTAAACAATCTCATCTATTGAATCTACTTTAAGCAACACGTTGGTATAGAAGACCTCCAAAGGTCCCTTGAAACCTACGTTAGTTTGTGATCCTGTGAAACTCTTGCAAAGTAAACTGAATTGGTCACGGAATTTGCACCATTATAATCAGCAGAGCTGTACAGACTGTCGTGGCAGCTTCTTTCCATGGGAGCTGACATAATAGATTTCTGTCCACATCTCCAACACCCACCAGATGAGCACACCTTACTCCTACAGTGCACTTAGGTTTGAATACAGCGGGTTGAGGAGAAACACAGTGCTGATGTGTCTCTACTATTGTTCACTTCAGAGAGGTGACTCCACTATTGGAAGTTATCCTCATGCTCTTAGTTGAATCTGTGCCACAGAACTGAGTAATTTGCTAATCCACAACAGAAAAAAAAAAGAGCACCAGAACCCAGAACTACTAGATATCAGAATCTCTATCAAGTCTACAACTAAAATAGGCAATTGACAGACTCCTGCTAGACTCCATTGCCCTTACCAAAGACAAAGGTGTAGACACATCTCCCTGAAAAGATACTCATATGGGAATAGAAAAGGGAATATAAAATGGCTTAAAAAAATTGAAAAGGATTGAATATTGATAGCGTGAAGACTCCAAAGACTTATTCCAATATATTTTTAGAAGACCAAGATTATACCAACTGAAGAAAGCCATGCTATATCCATCTGAAATAAGACCAGATTAATATTGCTTGTTTATGGGCAAATGAAAGGAATAGCACATCACCTACCATGAACTGCTACCAGTTTATAAGAACACCTGTGAAAATGATTCACAGGAGAAAGGACTGAAAGCTTGAAACCTTTGTCATGCACTTTTTTAAATCAGATTTTGTTGAGTGCACTGTGGGCAAAGAGCAGAGATCCTGTTAATATGCAAGAGGCTGCCAAACTGCCTAATGAAGATACAGCAAAACATGCTTGAGAGGGAAATAAAAAAAGCTGAGACATATTAATCAAAGGAAATTCTGGCTGTTTCCTAGAGTAAGCTTGAACTTCCAGGGAAAGCCATTCAGCCTAAGGCTACGAAGATCCAATCTCAACAAGAAAGTTTAAGATCAATCTAAGGCAAATTAAAAAAAAAAAAAAATTGTCCTAAAATGCTAAAATGTGGAAAGAATAATTTAAATTCTACATTAACTTCAAATATTTATCTTCAAATGGCAGGCAAAGAAAACCAAAAAAACCCAACAAAGGACTCATAGGAAGCTAGTAGGATGTTGCCAAAAGTTCACAGGATAGGTAACTAAATACATAGTCTGGTTTCCATGAGACAAGAAAGAAAAATTACAAGGAACACAACCAAATATTTTTACCCAGTGATTAAGATGGGGAACAGGTGCAGCTACACATCAGGGACAAGCTAACCCAAGGAAAAAAAACTGCCATAAACCATAAGGTAACAAAGGCAGGCTTGAGCAAAGGCTTGAGCAAACTCTTACTAAAAAAAACAACCAAGCCCAACCCAAAAACCACAGGTGCACTCATCAGGAGAAACTCAGTCCCTGAAAAGCTATTCCTATCTGGCACACATGCTTAACAGAGCTTATTGCATACCCGATAATTATGGTCAAAAGAATAACAAGCTTACACCGAATTAAGACACAGCTTTGACACCACACAAGTTAGTTGCTCCCTTGTCCTGAAATGCATCACATGTAAAGGCAAAGGACAACAAAGACTTAACTGCAAATCCACTGCAAAAAGACATTTATTTATGCAATGCAAAGGGCACGCAAAAACCTAGAATACCAGTGTGACAAACGGTAATTTCTGGCAGAACGCAGGAACAACTAACTGGAGACCCAGCATCATGTCCATGCCTACACCAAGGTCAGTGTGATGTTGAGCAAAGACCACCTTCTATCTTACCGTGACAATTTATACCACCTGCAGAATAATGAAAACCTCTCAGAGAAAGAAAAAGAACAGAGCCTGCAGAGAGAAGGGACCTTGACAACAGCAAGAGATGATCCAGAGGACCAAAATGAACCTCAAAAAGATAAGGTTGGTCTGAAGCAAGTGCTTTATGCAACCATAATACACTGAATCTGTACATTTTGTTCATAAGTTCTCCTGAAACTTTCCTTTCTCCATGTCTTTTGAAATACCACCCAAATATAAAAAAAAACAAAACAAAACCTTTTTTAATTACACTGTTACTACTTAGGGCATCAATAAGCAAAGAAAAAAGCATCAATACTTCTTCAGTACATATCTTGTCTTGCTCGTGCATTATACTGGTTTGGTATCAGCAAACAAGAAAATATACACCGACCCAAACTTTTGATTTAAGTGCATGAAGTGTAACACAATCAAAAGAATTTCTGCAACCTATGTATCATCTGAAATGCCTACAATCAATCTGTAGTAACAAGCAGTGAACTTGCAATACAAAATGTAAAGGACACAGAATTTGGCTTGCAGTCCCCAAATCTGAATTCAAAGTTATTTGGCCATCTGCTTATGCTCAAACCCAGAAATAGTATACTGCTACTTGGGAGGGTGGGAGCAGAGAAGGGAACGGAAAGGGGGCTGGCTTTGCTGATGCCTCATTCTAGACTTAAAATACAAGGTTTCCCCCCCCACCCTCCTCTAGGGAAGCCCTAGGCTGATAACATCATGAATATTATTTCTGCCTTCTGGCATAATTTCAATTTTCAAGTAGGTATACTTTGATCTTTACTTAGGTAGGACAGCCTTGTTCCTCCCACCACAGTAGGAGACCTCTATCATCAACTGTAATAAGCTGCAGTGACTCTGAGTGAAGAGGCTGGCAGCACACGTACCCAGGTGACCTTTTGTGCTCTCAGACAGCTGCTTTCTCCAAGCCTTTCACAGCTCAAGAATTCCCACTACTACTGTATTTAGTGCACTGACCCTATTCCAAAGGCTGACAGATTCTGTAAACCCTCACAGCAACAAAAGCAACCCTCACACAAACCCTTGCATAGCACAATCATCCTTAGAAATCCCATAGTCACACTGTTGCTGTTCATTTATCATGAACCATTATTTTAACAATCATCTTTTAAAAGTTTCCTTCAAGTTCATGTAATTATGTTTTCATTTTGTCATTAGCCTGTACCACAGCAAGATCCATCTGTACCAACATTACCAAGATCCTGCTAATTCTTTGAGGGTCCAAAAAGAAAGAAATAGTTTCCACCCAATCTACTTCTTGTATTGTGAAGATCTGTGGGGGATTAGTTAAGAGAGTTTAAGAGTTTTGCCACTTAGCTATTTCCCACCCCACCCCCCAGTAGAACTTTAAAGCTAACAATATGTTAGATTGAATTTCCACAAGAAGTCCTTCCAACTGTAACACTGCTCTCAAGAAGGTCTCAAGAGGCAGACAGGGAAAGAAGCAAGAGAACAGACACTCAGCCTGGATTGAAATATACAGGATTGGCATTCACAGGGCAAGATTCTTAGAAAAAACAGGATTGAGACAAAACCTAGAAATTTCACTAAGACATTATCATGCAATTTCTTGAACCAATTCAATTTTCAAAATAAATCCTCCAAAGACACCTCTAAAGCTGTATCAAAATTATATCCTTCATTCTGTTTAGATCATTCTCTCTCATCCCACAAAAGACCAGAAAAGCTCTCCCAGGGAAGAAAACGCCACAGCCAGCAGGAGTCTCTGCACTTGCTCCACTCCCATACTGGCAGCAGTTCTCCCAGGTTACTGCACAAGAAACGCACACCAACTTATGAAGTCTCCTTTCCCCCTCCTTCCAAGAAATCTTCACCTGCCTTTTACTTGATCAAAGGTAGGTCAATTGAGCTATTCTCAATACATACTGATACTATACATATATACACATTGTATGAGACCTGTAACCCATCTATTTCAGTTGGCATTTTGCACTGTTTTAAGTTTTTTTGGAATAAGAAGTTACTTTTGTTTCGCCTTACTCTTGCAAACATGCAATAAAGTCCTAAAAGTCAACAGCTGCTGTTCTGATTCATAAAACCTGTTAACAACTAACTGGTAATACAATGTGGGCCAAGTACTGCCTATCCAATAAGCCAACAGGGCCACAATGCAGTACATGCACTAATGCCTTGTCAGAGAGTGCTTTTTCTGAGCCATCTTCAGCCAGATCCCATCTCAGGGTGCAGGCTGACCTGCCCTTGTGTAGTATGGCCCTGTGGTCAGCCAGCAGGCTCTCTCCTGGCCTTCCCACCTGCTCCTTATGCTTCTCCCTTGTGAGTCTGTGTATTTTTGGCATATAACATGCAGTAGGAGCATCTGGCATTCAGGAGTATCTGGCTGAAAGTCAGCTCGGTATTGCGGTATACCCAAAATCCCTTAAATGTGCCAAACGCATGCTCCGTAATTAACACTCTCTGGAACAAGCAGTGTTCCTCCTCCCTACCCCTATGATGCTGGCTAACATCTGCACGCTTTTAAAAAAGTGAGATGTAGGCCATCCCCCCCCAGGAACCACAGCTGGCATTGCAACTGACCCAAACACCTCTCCTGGAAAACACCTCTCCACACAGCTTATTCCAGGGGTGTAAGCATCAGCCAGTCCACCAGTACAGCATTTCCAGACATTAAGTAGTGCTTACACACGCGCTCAAATCAATTGTCTGATTCTTTCAGTCACAGTGCTTCTGACACACACTGGAAAAAAGCAGTTGTGATGATGCAGGTAGCCATTATTATCTAGCAACATAGAAGAAACCAGGCTTAAACAGAATAATCGTCTTTCTTACTAGACCTGGACATGCAAGTTGGAAAAAACATACTAGATTTAGGCTCCATCAGAGCCTTTTTCAGGAAGCACAGAGATGCATCTTGTTTTAAAGCCACACTGGCAGTTAATGGAGATCAGAAATAGAACCTTCATCTCTGCGCTCCTTTCCCAACTTTGCCATAAACCATCTTTTCTTTCCCTACCTTCTCCCTAAATTATCTGTATTATCTGTAATTCCCTTTGATTACAGTCACCTTCTTAGCCCTTTTGCTTTATCCTCCCAGCAGACAGCCCTATTACATACTTTGCAGAAAAGGGTCTGTAGAAGACGTATGATGGGGGAAGGGGAGGGGGCACAAATCCACAGGCGTCCCAGACAACATAAAGGTTAGCTTTCCAAAATCTTTGGAAGACTTATTATGTATGACCTCCTAGAAAGAAGCTATAACTTTTATCAAGTACAGGATATATATTCTATTCTGCAAAGGAGATTTCATTATAATTTTTATTAATTTTGAAGTTCAAGTTACAGTCATCTCTAGCCAATCATAAAATGATAGTATATTATCTGATTTATGTAGATTTAACATTTAGGACAGGTGGATATTACACCCTAGCTCCTACACAAGAGGAAAGCCAAACAAATACACAATTTGCTAAGGAAATCTATCACCATAGTCACAACTCTGTAGCCAGGACACCCAAACCTGTTAGAAAGAACCTTCATATATTACTTTCTGAGAACACTTTGGTAAAGGTGACTAAAAAAAAAGTGGATGTGTAAATATTTATATTAACACATCTAAGCAAAACATTGTTCTGTGAGCTGCAGAGGAAACACAGCACCTCCTATTACTGCCATAATGGCAATGATGATAATTCAGCTGTTGCAAAAGAGAACACTTAACAGCTGCATAAAACCCTTATTGTGGGAGCAAACCATAAATTAGGGTCTCTGTCACCCACCCAGCAACCCAGCCATTTATTTTTCCAGAACTTATAGAAACTTTATTAAATGCAAGACTTGTGTTGCTCGATGAAAATGATAAATAAATTCCTAAATTAGACAGTCCAACAGCAGTCCCACCTCCTTATAGCCACGAACACCAATATGATGGCCAGATTTGTCCCATGGAACCCAAGAACATCAAGCAGCTTTACGGTTAGGTATAACCGGCTGAAATTTACAACTTATCAGAAACTATTTCATACCCTCCCCTCACACAACTTGGTTTTTATTTCTGAAAATGAACAAACAACTACAGTCATCTCTTTGAGACTGCCAGTACCCTCCTGCCACCCCAGAGCAAGAGAAGAGCTCTCCGGAGGTGAGCCAGGGAGGGTGACACAGCAGGCCCCCCCCCACCCAGGCTGCCCCCGGCCATGAGGGGAAGGACCCCCACCCTCGGCCCCTGCCCCAGCACCGGCGGCCCCCGCCCGAGAAACAGCAAGTTTTGCAACAAGGACCAACTCCTGCCACCCGCTCAGCCACCGTTACACACCGCAACGCGACCGGACAGGTACCAAGAACCAACAGCGGTACCGGTACCGGCTGAGAGAGGCCGTGAGACCGCCGGTCTCCCCGCCAGCGGGCCCCGCAGCCCTCCCCAGCACTCCCCTGCCCCACCGCACCCCCAGCCCCGCGGATACCACCTTCCCGAAGATAGGACCGACGCCTGCCAGCCTCCTTCAGTCTCCCCACAGCACCCACCTGGAACTCCAGCCCATAGATCACCGGCGCGTCGTCCTCCATGGTGGCCCCCTCCAACACACACACACGCCGCGACACACCCCGCTGTCCCGCCGGCCTTTCTGGCCCTCGGCGCTGCCCGTCCGGCGCCGCTTCCGGGAGGTGCGCCTGCGCAGGCGCAGTACCGCCCGCCCCGGCCCGCAGCGCAGGCGCGGTGGGGAGCGGCGCTCGGCGCGGCGGCGGAGGGGAGGTGTCGCCGCTGGGCGCGGAGGTGAGGTGAGGGGAGACGAGGGGAGAGCGGCTGAGGGGAAGGCGGCCGGTGCGGCTCCAGTGCTGCCTGAGGGGCGGCCGGGTGCTGAGGCAGCCTTGGGACCCCGGCTCTGAGGGAGAGGGGGCGGCGGCACACTCCCTGGGCTGCGCCGGGAGGGGGCTGTGGGGGTGAGGCCGCGCCCGCCCCCTCTGCGGGGAGGCCGGGGCGGCGGGGACCCCGGGGTGGCGCAGGAGGCAGGGCCGCTCCCCGAGGCGGCGGGGCGGAAGCGGCGGTGGGGGTGCGCAGCCTGCGCGGGCGGCCCCGGGCCGGGCAGCCCGCAGCGGTGGCACCGCGGACCCGCCTTCCCCCGTCCCTGCCCTTCAGTGGGGGCCCAGCCGGCCTTGGGCAGCCTAACAGCAAATGCCGTTTCGTCTGTGTTTGGTGGGAGGCGTTTGCTCTTCAATCCCACTGTTTTTGCGACTTGGAAAAAAAAAAGGATGAAGAGAAGACCGTTTTCGGAATGAATTTATTGTCCGGGTAGATGTTAAATGAAAGGTGTGAGCGAAACGGCTGTATTTTTGAAGCAAAATTTTCAGTATTTAAGTATTAAACGTTATAAGTATGATACTTAAGGGTTTCAGGGTGGTACCTGAGCAATACCTGAGTAGTAAAATTAATACTTGTTTTGTTGGGGGCATTTTTTCCCTCTTCAGCTACCATGGAGAATAACGAAAGTAATCCTAAGGATGCAAAGAGCACCTCAGATGACGATGACAGCGGACACATAGTTCAGCAGAAAGCTCAGGAAGAAATTCTTTTTCATGAGGAAACCATTGATCTTGGTGGAGATGAATTTGAGTCTGAAGGGAATGAAACTGTGTCAGAAGATTCAAATAACTTTGTAGATAAACTTAATGAACAAATGATGGAGAGTGTCATTATTTCAGATTCTCCAAACAACAGTGAAGATGACACAGGTGAACTTGGTTGTCTCCAGGAGATTGTAGAACAAATGGAAGCTAAAGATAATCAAAACGCACAAGAAAAAGTGGATAAAGAAGAGTTTTTAAGTAATGAGAGTGAAACTGAACATGAAGAAACACCCAAAGACATTTCTGAGATTGGAACAGATGATCAGGCATCTTTAAAGGAAGAATTAATTCAGGAAGCAGTGAAGGAGGAGCCAAAGTTGGGAAACAATGTTCCTGTTGAAACAAAACCAAATCCTATTGATGAAAACAAACGTGAGGACCAGATAATGTCACCCAGTACTAGCAAGGAGGCTGAGCCTATTCCTGTGTGTACCATCTTCAGCCAAGCAAACAATGTTAATACCCAGCCACAGTTGTTCCTACCTGATGGTTTTGAGCCTCAGATGGTAAAATCTCCCAGTTTTAGTAGTATAATTGAGACTCCAGTGAAGTCTAATCCTCAGGTGGTTCAGCCAAGTCCTAGTCTAAGCAAGTTCTTCGGCGATACCGTTAGCACTAATACTTTAGCTTCTGATTTTTTTGATTCATTTACCACATCCAATTTTATTTCTGTTAGTAATCCCAATGCAAGCTCATCAGTTCCAGAACAAATGTCCTCTCTTTCTAATGGTGGAGACAGTTCTTGTGCTTCATCCAACCCTACTTTCTCTGTGCAAAATGGGAGGCCTGAAGCAGGTGATCCTCCATCATCTGTAGAAATAACTCAGTCCCCAAAGCCATTCTCACAAATCCAAGCTGTTTTTGCTGGAAGCGATGACCCCTTTGCCACAGCCTTAAATATGAGTGAACTAGATAGAAGAAACGATGCTTGGCTTCCTAGTGAGGAAACCAGAAATGTTCTAATTTCAGTTGCCACACAGCAATACAGCACTGTGTTCATAGATAAAGAGAATCTCACCATGCCTGGATTAAAATTTGATAATATCCAGGTAAGAGTCTATTACTGTATCTCAGTGCATTAATATATTTTAGAAATATTGTGTAAGATCCTTATTAGAAAATCTAATGTTGCTGCCTACTCAAACATGAAAGGCCTAAAAACAGATCTGTTTTGTTCATTGTGAAATTTGTTGTGTACATTAAAAAACAGAGTTGACAGTTTCCATGGAATCCAAAGCTGGTTGTATTTTTAAGTAGTTTGTTTCTGGTCCTCCTAGTTAGTAAGATAATGCTCGCATTTGGAATAGATGTAAAATCAGTATGCCGTACTGCAAAGTCTGAAAGCTTTGTTTGTTTGTGGAATTCACTGTTGCAACCAAGTGAGAAATACCATTTTTCACTGATGTTCACAGTGTTCTCAATAATGACTGAAATTGAATTGGTTTTATCTTCCCTAAGCAGTGGAAAGGTATAACCTGGAGGAAAAATTGGGTGCTGGAGCAATCTACTAGGAAGGGATAACCCCAAAATTAAAGGGAAAACTCCAGATGGGTTTCCACTACTGTTTTTCCCTTAAGCATCTCATTTCCTTTTCTTCTATCAGAGTTCCCAACTATTGAGAAGGCATAAAGTGTTTTTTCAGAATTTGAGAAATTTCACTTGGATCTACTCAGTATTTCTCAGGAAGCTGTTTTATTCTGACTGCTCAGCCAGGTATCATAATGAAATTTTTTTCTTGAAATAGGCTAATCCTACTCTTTCATAACTGTGTCTCTGGATAGTAGAATTGCTGTTTAGAGATATAGTGCTGATGCTTTTGATACTTTAATCCTTAATTGTAGTATAACGAAGACTATCAGTCAATAGTCAAATACAAGCAGAGAACAGTCTGCAGTAATTTCCCAATCTGCAGGAACTATCAGAAAACTTTCTGGAGTGAATCAGGTGCAGATTTGTTGCTGAATTATCTGATTAATCTTAGGTTTCCGTCATAAGCAACAGATGATATCAGTTTTAGACGTATGCTGTCCTGCTGCTACTTCATGGGTTAGCTTTATCTTAAAACATTTGTTTGTCTTCACAGAGCCCAATAGTTAGGGTGAAAGAAGACATGCTAATAGGAAGATACTCCTCCTCTGCTCCTTCTTAAAAAAAAAAAAAAAGGCTCCTTCCCACCTTTCCCAAAAAATCCCATAAACTTTGAGCAATTCAAGAGTGTGTGGTATTTCTTTCCTAACAGCTAATGGGATGGAGAAAAGGAATGATCCCTTCCACAGGCCTTATAAGGATGAGAGCCTCTTTATTGCAGGCCTTCTTTTTCACAGTAGTTCTCTCACCTTCCTCGGTTTAGTCAAGGGTGAAAGGCTATGGTGTGCTGGTGATTCCCTGAATCTGGGCATGTGCATATATGCAGATCGACCATTCAGTACGTAACTGAAAATAAGATGTAATGGCATCGTCCATGTGATGTATTTCTACATGTACCTGCTGTAAAATCAGTGGTATTAAAGGGGATTCCTGCTGCTTTCTACCTTGATTATAATGTATAAACGGTCACACAGGCATGTCATCAGGGACAAGTTTTGAAGTGCTTTGTGTTTATACAACTTTCCTCACTTCCAGTTACTGCTTTTCAGTGGGCTGAGCGCACGCCTTGACTGACCTGACATCCCCTAGTTTGGTATCATTGTTCCATATGCTTCTAGTACTGCAAATTGTGTATTTAACTGAAACTATAATTGTAGAGTACTTGAAATGCCAACTGAAACATTGTGGGAGGCATGTTTTCAATGTTAAATCAGCTTCCAACAATGGTCATTAAACTCTTGGCATGAGTAGTTTGCTAATGCTAAATGTTAATGCAAGGTGTTAAACCAAACTGCATGCAGTTGACAAAGGACTTAGTTGAAAAGTGCATTTACAGTGAAGTGTAAGTGTGCTTCAGGGAAAGACTGAAATTCTGTATGATGTATATTGAAGAGCTCGGTAGTTATTTTTTCTCTGCTCACTCAGAAGGTTTTTGTTCTTATTACGAGTATGTTGTCTTAAAAATTAAGTGGATAAATCACACCTAGAAAAATACTAAATGTTCTTGATTTCAGCTATGTGGTGCTTTTTGCTGATCATTCAAGAAACATTATTTTTTAAACTGTCTTGGATTGTGTATGGTACAGATTATCCATACCTGTGCTCTCTGAGTCTGGGAACAAGCACTGCTTTTTATGCTATTTCTGTTACGCCTTTCTTCATCAGTTACTGTCTGCTGTCATTATGTCCTTTGTTTCATTACATTCATTTGTAATGTTTCCCACTCCAAAGTACTGTTGGGGGGGAATTAAAAATTCTTTTGTATTTATGTCATTTTGCGCACACTGTCTTTTCTTAATCCTTCAGACTCTTCTGTCCGAAAGATGGAAATCTGGTTTATTTGTAGGATAGGTGACAGCATTAGAGGTAAAAAATTTCCATCTAGGGAAGCAGTAGTTGTGGTCTCATTCTTCAAGAAACTAGACAGAGAGAACACAAGCGTATTTCCTGTAACTGTCCATGTGGAAAGTGCAAACAGTTAATATCAGTTATCTTTAGCATAGCTAAGCTTTACCATGTTTTATGCAGCTCACCTTTTTTTTAGGGAAAAGGCTTAGTGGCTTGCTTTCTGTGCTAGCAGCTTCCTGCCTCAGTTCTTCAAGTGAATGTTTTTATATGCCTTTAGAGGGATTTTTGCAAATATTCAGTGGTATGCTTGCATTTTTGCATAGTCACTTTCTGCTTTAACATCTTAAATATTGCATACCATTCTAGTTAACACAGATCTGAAAAGATAAAATGGAATTAAAACAAATTGGAGGGAGAGGACAGATGGTGAGGAGCGCGGAGGTTCTCTGTTGTGAGTGGTAGCTAAAAGGAAGGGGACCTTTTGACTTACAAGAGCAATAATGATCTAAAATTCATAAAATAATTAAGATAAATAGTTTCACGGCGAAAGGTTTTATGGCAGAGGAACTGTTGAGTAATAAGGGTAACAAA